GCGGGCGGGTACGCGGGCTCGGCCGGCGCCAGCTCCAGGCCTGGCTTCTGGTCGCCATCGTAGCTGCTTGGGGGCAGGCAGTGCGGGACATAACCTGGAGGGGCGAGAAGTGAGAGGGATGTTGAGCCGGAGGCCCCGGGGGAAGGCTTTCCTCTTTGACCCCGTCCGTCCTGGCGCCCCCTAGCTCTGAGACCCCGTGGCAGCACTTGGAGAATGATGGCCGCTTGTAAGACAGTGTCGCACGCTTTGAAGGTAGTTATTACACCACTTTGCAGGTGAAGAAACTGAGGCAGACATTCAGTCGGTCTAAACTAACAGCAGTGAGAGGTGGAGCCAAGTTTCAAACCCTGTGTTCTCTTTGTCCAAGAACATTCTGCTTTTCCAGTCCTATAACGTCTATGGATTTCAGCTTTCCCACCCAAACATGGTGCATGCCTGTCGGTACAGCTACTCTCCAGGCTGAAGCGGAAAATCACTTTCGCCCAGGAGTTCCAGACCAGCCTGAAATTACAAGCTTCACTTAAAAACCTTCCAGCGTCGTTGGAAGGCCCAAGTAAATGATGGCAGTGAAGGTGTCCTGTATGGAGCCCTAACTGTATGCCAGGCTCTGCCTTGATGCTTTACATACGTTAACTTATTTAATTGCCACAGGAAGTAGGTATTATTAGAGCCCCCATTTTACATGTAAGGAAATTGAGAAAGCGCACACAATAATTGCTATATAAATGTTAGCTATTATAATTATGCCTTTTACTTGCTTGAAAAAGTGACTTCGCTGAAGACTATTTAATTGTCTGCCTCCTGCTCTATGCTTTGAGCTCCCCAGGGCTGGAACTATGTGAGCAGTGACTGGCTCCCAGTAGGTGTGCCATGACTAGGTGTGGCATAGACCAATTGCACTCCTTTGAGACCCACTTCCTGGGGTTGCTGGAGGATTCACAGGGGGTCGAGTGTGTGGCATGTAATAGCTGTGGCATAGAGGGAACCTCCTTGTGTTTGCTCCCAAACCTGCTCTGCCCTGCGCTCTAGAAGTCTTCCTGAGCCCCCATGACAATTGCCTCCCCCTCCTCCTGCCCTTGGCTGGAGTTGGACCAGAAATCCTGTCTGTCACGTGTTTGAGTGACTGGTGGATGGGCAGGCTGGCTCTTCCCCAGGGGATTCCATAGGGGCTTCTGGAGGACAGGGGCCACCTCCGCTTGTTTCTGCCTCAGGTGCCCTTGCCCGGTCCACACCTTCCCTGGGCTCCCTGGAGGGTTTCTGGCAGGCATTGAACAAACTTATCATCCTGGTACTTAATTACCCAGCGTTTCCCATTGTCCTTTAATTGCAGAGAACAATAGAAGTCAGAACCCCTTTCTGAGGTTCTGCAGCCTGGGAGTAGCAAATCCCATTGGACCCTCTGCATCTGACCCCTGCAATCTGTAACCGCCCCCTCTCCAGGGAGTAGGTGGGAGACTTGGGCTTTGTAATCCTGAGGCCCGATTCCTGTGACCTCCAGACTTCCGCTGGGCCTCTAGTCACAGGGCCTGGCTGACTCAGCCTTTAGGGTTTTGCCTCTTGTTTGGCATTTGGGTGGGCACGGGGCAAAGTCTCCCCAGCACTGAAGGTGAGGGTGTGCTCTTATCTTCCCTGTCCCTTCAGCAACTGGTACAGGGCCCTATGCTTAGAGGTGGCTGTGGGCTGTGGCATGGGTGACTCAGGTGCAAGGTGCTCTGTGGTCAGAAGCGGGGTGGGGGCAGTGGTGGTGGCAGATTTTAATCCAAGGGGGAGGAGGTGCCCAGCTTCCACCTGCCTCTGGTGTCGAGGTTGTCCCACCTCCCATGCCAGGTAGTGGCCTGGTGCTCAGCTCCCAGAGCGTGCATCGGGTTCGCTTGGGACTGGGTTGAATGACTGCCAGGCCTCCAGACCCCCTCCTTCTCCTGAGTCCTCTTGCATGGTAATCACCGATGGTGGTGACCGAGCACACGCTGGGTGCCAGGCTCTGGGCTGAGTGCTTCCTTCCCATCCCCACCCATGTCACCCCAACAGTCCTTATTTACACATAAGGAACCTGAGGTACAAGTGTCGGTGGTCCTTATGCCCAGGTGCACTGCTCCCCCCGAGGTCCTGCACCCCTGGAGGTCCTGAAAAGGGTCTGTGACTCAGCTGCCACTTACCACAAGGGACCCAGCCAGTGGGCATTTGATAAGTATTGGAGGAATGAATGATAAAGACTTGCCCGGCAGCCCAGCAGGGTCTGCTGTAGGGAGGACAGGTCTGCACCTCACGTGGCCCGGGCCATTGAAAGGTGAGGACGACCTGGTTCCCCAACACAGATTCTATCTAGGTGATGACCGTGGGCGAGTCCATCTTTCTGTGCTTTGGGGTCTTTTTTCTGGAAATGAGGAGAGTATGGGATCCGATCGGAGGCCGTGAATGATCATGTGGCCCGGGCTTTGCACTGTTCTATTATTAAAGAAGAATGACATATTGGTAAAGAGCACGACTTTGGTGCCAGACTGCCTGGATTGAGTTCTGGCTTTACCATTCCCAGCTGTGTGACCTTGGACAAACGATTTGCCCTCTGTCTGCCTCTACCTTTTCACTAAGGAGTCCCCCAGTGAACAAGCAATAAGTGAACAATACCGACGCTCCAAGGACACTAACGTGTCACACACGAGTGCATTCTCCTCTCCTGACCCTGCCATTTTACAGATGAGAACCCCAAGGCGCAAGGAAGTTAAGCAACATGCCTAGGGTCATGCGGCAGGAAGTCAGAGCCAGGACTGCAGCCCCTTGCCTGGCCCCCAGTGACCCACAACACATGTCAGCTATTACCAGTCACAATGACAGTCTCCCCGGCTGCATACTGTGCTTCAGTTTTCTTTTTTTCTTTTTTTTTTTTTTTAAGAACCCTACTAAATTCTCTTCAGTACCATCATCTTTTTTTTTTTTTTAAATAAAGGGTTTATTTATTTATTTATTTTAGAGAGAGACTTGATGTACACTCTGGTAAACCTGCTGATGCTCTCTGGGCCTGTTTCCTCCTCCAGAATGGGTCATTTCCTCCCTCCCATGCTAATGAGAAAACTTCTGGTGCACAGGAACTCCTGAACCTTGGGGCCTTCACTAGAATGAGTGTGCGGCCCACGGCGCCCTCTGCTGGCAGACGGCAGCACTGCAACTCCTTACTCGTGATGCTGATGTCTTTCTATAGAACTAGGGGTGCCTCAAAACAAGCCTCAGGATGGCCTTCAGGGCAGACCTGATTGCCCAGTGGCTGAGAAGTTTCACATGGGTTGGGGGCATCATATGCAAGTTTGGTCATGTTAGAAGGCGCTTCTAACTTGCTTTGAGGCTGACCAGGTTGCTTATCCTCTCTGGGCTCAGTCTGCGGGAAGAAGGTTGGGATGCTCTAAAGACTTTCTGCATTGTGGATGAATCAGTGATTCCCCTGTGTCCTCTCCACTTCCTGCTCCTTCAACTCGACTTCATTTTTCTCAGATCCTCAGACATCTCCCTGTGTGTGCTTGAGCAAGTTCCTCAATCTCTGCTTCGTACGTCTGTATAAGGGAGTTCCTAACAGGACCGGATGAGTTAATGTGGGTAAAGTGCTTCGTACAAGGCCAGGCCCATAATAGCTAGCCTCTCAAGCTGCTAGGATCAATATTATTTCTACATTTTCTGGTGACATCCTAATCTGCCAGAGAGTAGGAAATACACAGAGGTATCTCAAGCTGCTCTGTGACTGTGGAAAGCCACTTCTCTCTGGGCCTCAACCCTGGAAAATCCTTTAGGACACTCTAAACCATGTTCTCCCCCGTGCATGGAATACAGACAGGTTTTGGACGGAGGTCTCAGGAGTGACTAGAGGGCTGAGCTGCCTGTCTCCTGGCTGCTAGGTTGAGACAGTTCCCTTTTGTTTGGGTCCTAATAGAGGCCCAGAAGAGCTGGGACTCAAAAGAAGGGAGACCTGGCTGTCACCCTGGCCCATGCACAAAGAACCCTAGCTGTGAGACCCTTGGCAAGTCATGCTGCCTCTCTGGACTGAAATTTCCCATTTGAGAGATGGTTACCTGATTTACACCTGTTATGTAGGGGCATGGGAAGGGCTCAGAAACACAGAGATGTACACATGTGACCTGAGAATGACTTTGGTTTTTCCTGCCCAAGAGTCTTGATGTTTTAGACTGAAGATCAAGAAACCATTTATGGGGCTGGGGCTGGGGCTCAGTGGTAGAGCGCTTGCCTAACATGTGTGAGGCCCTGGGTTCGATTCTCAGCACCACATATAAACAAATAAATGAATAAAGGTCCGTCGATAACTAATGAAATTTAAAAAAAAAAGAATCCATTTATATATATATATGGCCAAAGGCGTTCTGGAAAAGGAAATCTATGAAAATCAATGTGCTGGGTCCTCTGCAGACACTGTGTCATTCAGCTGCTCTGCCCCCTGGATGGGAGTGGGGACCCATAACAGATCCTGGGACCACCTGCCTTCTAGCTAGCAGCAGCCCTCCCTGTGCACCATGCATCATGCTCTACTGCCCCAGAGGCCCAGGGAGGGCAGAGCCTGCTGGGGAGGGAAGGTGGTACCCCGCGGGGTGGTGGGGTGTTGGAATAGGGAGAAATTGTTGTTCTAGAAAGTGCTCCAGCACCCTGTGAGTTTTTGTAAATAATATTTAACAGTAATGACGCACCGTTATTGAGCACATACTGTGCTCAGGGCTCCCTG